ATATGAGTCAAGTTCACTTTTCCAAGAAAGATGGCTGTCAAGTAATACTTCTAGATATTGTACTTTTTCTTTGTTTTCTAAGTTCACATAYTGACCAGTCTCATTATCAAATATTCTGATGTTAATTGGAGTATTAAGTCTTTTCTGATAGGGTCGAAAAATAACAAAATTTGATTTTTTCATATTCAAGGTTAAYTTATTTGTRKTTAGCCAATCATACAGTTTCATTGTCTCGGTGTTAACTGTAGCTTCAAGCTTTTAGGTTTTTGTTAGCATACAGTAAATTGGTGTCGTCAGCCAAATAGAAAGAATTTCAATTTAGTASAAGCTTTCGTAATGTCATTAATGAATAATAAGAAAAGTAAAGGTCCTAWGACAGAGCCCTGAGGAACTCCATATGTGTTAGGATCTTTTGTACTGGAATGACCATTAATCTCAGTTGTCTGGGTTCTGTCTTGTAGATATGATTTAGAGTGGTTTTCATAAACCCGTGAAACAAAGTGTAATAATTAGAGTGTAATAGATCGTAATAGTCGCGTAGAGACAATAAAAAACAAAAGAGCCAAAGTGTAATAGCGATAAATACGCTAAAGTGTGTTTCACGGGTTAATGAAAACCAATCTAAACCAATTGTTAATTATTCCTCTTACTMCATAAAAATTAAGTTTTCTAAGTAAGATTGTGTGGTCAACAGTACCAAATGCTTTCTTGAGGTCGATGAATATAGCGCATGAAAAAAGTTTATTACCAATATTATTTTGTTTTGTAGAGATTATATCAAGAATTGCATGGCTTGTCGAGGTCACCAGCCCTAAATCCATATTGAGAGTTGTCTAAAGGCTGATTTWCACGGCACGATTGTCTCGTGCGATTTGTAGTATACGACTTGAATCGCGAAGTGTAAATGCCCCTACGACTTGTCTACAACAATCGTAAACAACCTACGACTTGTAGTAGGTTTTTGAACCACTGCTTAAAATCCTACGACTTGTAGTAGGAAATTCGTATACTACAAGTCGCGCGCGACAAATCGTAACCTGTAAATCAACCTTAATAGGTCTTGTTTTTCAATATACTGAATAAGTTGTTCGATTGCCTGAGCAACCAAACCATCAAAAATCGATCGTTATTTACTGTGTTAATATAGAGAGAAAAT